TTTTGGTTTTTTTTTTTTTTTTGGTACTGGGGATAGAACTCGGGTCCTTGCACTTGCAAGGCAGGCCACCGAACCGCTGAGCTAAATCCCCAGCCCCATTTTGTTTTTTTAAATTATTTTTACTTTTAGTTTTTGTTTTTTGAGATGGTCTCACTGTGTAGTTCAGGCTGGCCTTGAACTCACAGGTATCCTCTTGGCTCAGTCTCCCAAGTGCCGAGATTATAGGTGTGTGCTATCACACCCAACATTGGGACCATTTTGTTAGTTGTCATAGTTTTTAGAGGTATACATGCGATTCTTCTGTATATTTTGAGAATTTGGTGTTTCAATAATTCAATAACTATCATAATTTTGTGCAAGGCTCTGTTATCCACTATTTCAGTTTTCATTAACTAAAAGACACAGCTTAGTTGCTGCTCGTGTTAAGAAGAATATAGTCACATCCACAATCTGAGAAGCAGCCTTGCGCAGCTAAGCCCACTGAGGCCTTAGGGAGCATCTGGGCACCCTACCCTGAGCAGTTTGGCTCTGTGAGTCCACAGGAAGGCAGCCCCGCAGTCCTCGACACTGGTGAGCAACTCCTCTGGGCCCCCTGTTGCTCCCCCCCACTAGCCCTCAGACCCTGCCAGGTACCCTGCCTCTTCTGTCATTCATTCAGACCCTTGCTCACCTGGGCCTCCCGTGCACCCTTGGAAACTGACAGGCGCTCTGTTTCTGTTGCTGTTTGCTGTGCTTTCCTGAATGGTCCTATCAGAGTGGAGTGGCCCTACCTCCCACTTGACTGTGGAAACTCTCATACTTGGAGCTGGGCATGCTAGGCCCAGAGCTGCTGGGGAATCTGTCCCACTTAAGAGCACCACATCCCAGCTGGTGCAGCATCTTATGTCTCTGAGACCCCCACCAGCAGTGCTGATTCTGATTGCAGCTGAAGAAGCCACGTAGATGCCACACAGTTGTGCCCATATGGAGCCAAAGTCAACATCGCCTGCCTAACCAACACTATAGGACACACTGCAAGGCAAACTTTTCTTACTAAAGCCACTAGAGGCAACTGGTCCGTCAGATGTATAAACATCAACATAGGGACACAAGAAGCCTGAAACAGCAAGGTAACCATTTAATTTCCTCTGAGGTCAGGAACAAGACGAGGATATCTGCTTTAAAACTCAGTCTCCTATTGGAAGTCTTAGAGCAGTAGCAGTGATGGCAAACCTTTTAGAGACCAAGTGCCAGATTGCCACCCAGAACCCACTTATTCATCATGAAGTGCCAACACTGCATTTAGACCTGAACACAGGTTTTTTGTTTAGAAAAAATGACCCTACATTAACATCTTTTGCTTTTTAAAAAAACTTTTTTTTTTTTTTTTGGTACCAGAGATCGAACTCAGGACCTTGTGCTTACCAGGCAGACACTGAGCTACATGTCTGGCCCCAACGTATTTTGTCTAAAAAGAAAAACACAATAACATGCACGCCATAGTTTGCCACCACTGTCTTAGAGCAGTAGGCAAGAGAAGGAAATAAAGGCATCCAGACAGGAAAAGAGGAAGTCAGATTATCCCTGTGGATAGACAACATGATCTATAATATAGATCATCTGATCATTTAACCAGCTAACCCCCTCTATCAGCTTCCTCTTTAATTGCCCAGTATCTTCTCCTCAGTCCTCCTTCCTTTTGCAGAAAAAAAGCAACTTCTATTTAGGAAAGTATTACAGCCATTTCCACGTACAGGAGGCCATAGTTCTAAAGCCAGTCTTTTCCTTCTCAGTATCATTTAGTTTCTGCATTTGTGTTTTTCCAAGCTGCGAATGTATCTTTTTTTTTTTTCTGGCACAGAAGTAGTGTGCTATTTAGATAAAAGTGCTAGTGTGCAATTATGCTTCAGGTTTAGTTGTATTTTTTTTCTAATTCTGATGAGTTTTTAAAAGATTTTAGACAGGTTAATGAGGAATTGACATAAAAGTTCTTTGTTATTGTGAATAAACAAATTGATTTCAAGGATAGAAAAAAAACTAGAATTCCAGATGGAAAGTAATATTTTTGGTAGTGTATACTTTTAGGTTGGTACATTTGAAATTGCTAGAGTTACAGGTAAAATGTGGCCCTGTAGCTTCGTTATTAGTATAATTTATTGTCAGCCTGATGTAGTCTGAGTCTGCTGTAATTACAGTGCTCAGGAGGTTGAGGCAGGAGGACCATTATGAGGATTGTAGTGAGACCCTGTCACAAAACAAAACAAAATGAAACAGGAAAGTATGTGATTTATTTATTTATTTATTTTTGGTACCGGGGATCGAACTCGGGTCCTTGCACTTGTGAGGCAGGTGGCGGAACCACTGAACTAAATCCCTGGCCCTATAATTTATTCTTATGTTGATGAGATCAGTTCTAGTTTGGTTTTGGTGCTTCAGGACTGAATTGGGTCATTCTGTTACATGGATAGTTCTCTTTAGGCACTCAGTAAGTGAAGTCTGGATGAATGAATTTCTAACACTTGTATGGTATAGTCTCTCTTTTTTTTTGGTACCAGGGATCGAACTCGGGTCCCTGTGCTTGAGGCAGGCAGTGGAACCACTGAGCTAAATCCCCGGCCCTCTCTTCTTTTTCGTAGAAGAGTTATTTTAGTATGTTCTGATTTGTTGTGTGAAGAAAGTTGAATTCTTTTTCCCCCTCACTTGAATCCACTTTTGGAAAGGAAGTGTAGCAAAGAATGGAGGAAGAATCATAAACTAAACATTTATTCTTTTATTTGGTAGATTTTAAAAAACACTGGTAGGATTATTTTTAAAGGAAGATGAATATAAGTATTAGTAGTGATTCATTATGCTTTGTTTTTAAGGTCTCTGTTGATTTTGGATGATATTTGGGATCCTTGGGTGTTAAAAGCCTTTGACAATCAGTGTCATATTCTTCTTACAACCAGAGATAAAAGTGTTACAGATTCAGTAATGGGTAAGGATAATTAATTTAATTAAAGATATTAATTATTCAGTTCAAGGGCATTTGAATACATGGCATACCTAGTTCCTGTGGCTTGTGATTTTTGTTGCAGGTCCTAAATATGTAGTCCCTGTAGAAAGCGGCCTCGGAACAGAAAAAGGACTTGAAATTTTATCTCTTTTTGTTAATATGAAGAAAGCAGATTTGCCAGAACAAGCTCATAGTATTATAAAAGAATGCAAAGGTATAGATGCTTATTTTATTTTATTTGTTTGGTACCGGGGATTGAACTCAGGACCTTGCACTTGTGTGGCGCCACTGAGCTAAATATCTAGCCCTTCGATGTTTATTTTGTGTTTGAAGGAGGCCAGCCTGGGTAACTTAGGGAGACCCTGTTTCAAAATAAAAAAATTTTTAAAGGAAGGGCTGGAGATGTAGCTCAGCATGAAGGCTCTGGGGTCAATCACCAGAACCCCTCTGTTCCCCAAATGAAAAGCTCCATGTGCCTAGCCATCAGAATGTCTCTGACTCTGAGCTTTTGGGTTTCAAAGGGAGGTGACTGTTTAGGCTGAGAGAAGCATGGATGACTGGGTCCAAGGTGATTGCATGGAGTGTGGTCTGAGGCTGGCGAACTCAGCAAGGCCTCCTGTGTGCTCAGATGCTCTGGGGCCTCTCCTCAGCATTCATTTCTTCTTTGGGTGTGGGGTGGGACACTTTCTGAAACAGGGTTTGTGTGACTTCCTGTCAGACAAAGTCAGAGGATTTCTTTTTGGGCAGCGTGACGATAAAGGGTTGGTGTTGCCAGGTAATGTTTCTGTGACTCACCTTGGGAAAGAGAAGCTCATTTCTGTGGCCTGTACTGACGAGGGAGGTATGAGCCAGGAACCTTCAGTGGAAACCAAAGTATGGGTATCATAATACCACAATCGTTCATTGTATACTTGCACTTAAGAAATCATTCTTGACTCACTTTTTGTTATATAAGTATTTAAAAATGTTTTTTCTTTTCTAAAAATTAAAAAGATTAAATTTATTTTTAAATCTCAACTATTGAAGCTTTTGGCCCTTTGCTATGTTTTTGAAAATATTTACTCTTAGTTTTTATGGTTCTTTTAGTTTCATATGTAGCTTTTTTTTTTTTTTTTTTTTGGTGGAGAAGAACTTGGGTTCTTGCGCTTGTGAGGCAGGCGGTGGAATCACTGAGCTAAATCTCCGGCCTTACAGATTTTTTTTTAGACTGGTACTGGGACTTGAACCCAGGGAGCATTGGCTATATTCCCAACTCTTTGTGTTGATTTTATTTTGAGAAAGGATTTTGCTAAGTTGCAAAGGCTAGCCTTAAAACTTATGATCTTCCTGCCTCAGCCTTCCGAATAGATGAGATTACTAGTGTGTACCACCATGCCGGCCTTCACTTGCAGAATTATTTCACATACCAAAATTAAGAATTTTATATAGTTAAATCAAAGTTGAGATTATAATAGTTTACATAGTTTTGATTCTTATTCTTTCTTGTATATCTTGAGTATTTTTACATATTGTTAAATACCTTTTGAAAAAAATTTACCAGTGACATGATATTGTGAAATACCTTAATTTACTTTTCCACTTTTCATCTTTCTTTTTAAATTTTTTTTTTGTGGTACTGGGGATGAAACCCAGGACCTTGTGTTTGCCAGGCAGGCATGGTGCCATTGAGCTACACCCCCAGCCTGGAATCTTCATTTTTAATAATTTCATTAGCATAATTAGAAGTAGACCCAGCAGTTAAAAATAATTTAAGATTTTGGGTAATATGCAGTGGAAATTGTTTTTTAAAACTAAAATGGTCGGGTGTGGTGGTGCATGCCTGTAATCCTAGCACAGGAGGGTCACTGCATTTTTTATTTTTATTTTTTATTTTATTTTTTATTTTTATTTTTGGTGCCGGGGATTGAACTCTGCTCCTTGCGCTTGCAAGGCAGGCAGCAGAACCACTGAGCTAAACCCCTGGCCCAACCACTGCATGTTTGTAGTTCACCCAAGCCTGGACTATATAGTGAGTTCAAGACCAGCCTGAACTACATAGTGAGACCATTCTCAAAAAAAAAAAAAAAAGACTAAATTATTTGTTTTCTTAACCCAGTGGAGATTTTTAAGATATGGTAGTATTAACACAGTTTTTTTTTTTGTTGTTGTTCTTAGGTTCTCCTCTTGTAGTATCTTTAATTGGTGCACTTTTACGTGATTTTCCCAACCGTTGGGAGTACTACCTCAGGCAGCTTCAGAATAAGCAGTTTAAGAGAATTAGGAAATCTTCATCTTATGATTATGAGGCTCTGGATGAAGCCATGTCAATAAGTGTTGAAATGCTCAGAGAAGACATCAAAGACTATTACACAGATCTTTCCATCCTTCAGAAGGATGTTAAGGTGCCTACAAAGGTAAGGGATGAACCAGCAAGTCTCAGTGTTGGTATTTATGGCGTGTGAGCTTTGACCTAGTGCTGAGACATTGTTGAGGAAGATAATGGATAAAGTGTGGGTCTGAGAGAGGGAGTGGAGGGCGGAGTGTAAACCCAGCAAGTGGTCTCATCAGCTCACAAGCTCATGTTCTAGGGAAAGTAGAAAAGCATCCAATTTTTCTGTTTCTTTTCTAGAGTGAGAAATAGGCTTCTTGGAAATGGAGATGTTCTTCTTGGGGGCTCTGAGAGTGTGTGTGTGTGTGTGTATTAATGTTCTGGCTTCAGACTCTTTCACTGTAATTCTGTGGCACATTAAATGATTAAAATGATTCCTAGGTGTTATGTATTCTCTGGGACATGGAAACTGAAGACGTTGAAGACATACTGCAAGAGTTTGTTAATAAGTCTCTGTTATTCTGTGATCGGAATGGAAAATCATTTTGTTATTATTTACATGATCTTCAAGTAGATTTTCTTACAGAGAAGAATCGCAGCCAGCTTCAGGTACTTGCATCTCTATACATTGTTAAAAAATGCTTTATAGTTTTAGGCTTACAAAAAAGTGACAAAGCAGTATAGTTTTTAATGCGTAAACATGTCACCTAGCTCCCCCTAATGTCAGCATCTTATATAACAGGATATAATTAAGTGGCCCAATGTTTACCACTGATACTCTACTGACAACTAAATTTTTCTAGCTTGCCCACTGGTATCCTTAAACTGTCCAGATTCAGTTCAGGGTCCATGTTGCATATCATGAACTCCTTTCCCCAGTTGCCACTTGCCTTGGTTTTCTCAAATCTGTGAAAATTCCTTATTTTTTGTCTTTCATGACATAGTTACCTTTGAACAGTACCAGTCAATTTTTTTGTACAGTGTCCTCTGATTTGGTTTTGTCCTGACTAGATTGAGGTTATGCGTATCTGACAAGATTTACTACAGAAATGATCTCATCTTCAGTGTGTCAGATCAGGGAGTACTTGGTATTGGTGTGTCTTACGGGTATTGTGTTATAAACAGGGTATGAGAGGCCACTAGGAGACAGACTTTGTGTGACTTTGTCCAGTTGTGAACAGAGAACTGAAATTGGGGGCAGATAGCTGCTAGCTGGGAAGAGCCAAGTTTATTTTGTCTGTGTGTGCATTGGCTGACATCAAGTTAGAGATTTTAGCAGCTAGCTGGGAGAGAAATTAAGTTTATATAGGGTTTGGGAATATGCCGTGGTCATAAGGAATGTTTATGACTGAGGGTCCAAGGATGGTCAGCGCAGGTGTGCAGACAAATCGCTGGACTTCTCCACACAGGGACATTGTATATTCTGTCTTATTTACTGAGAGTAGTATGGCTCTTTTAGTAGTTCCCTATTGTTTGAAGGCTGGATGTTTGCTCACAGGGTCTCATTCAGGTCAGGGATGGCATAATGTACGTGTTGGTTATTTCATTAAAGTGGCATCTAGCTGGTTCCTCTACTGTAAATGTATTACTTTTTTTTTTATGTTGTAATCATTAAGTGTCATATTGTGGAGAGAATACATTTTTAATAGCTTTGGAAGCTGGAGTTACTGTGATACGAATGTAGGCTTGTTTCTGTCCTCTTAAATGTGTGATTTGGGTTTTAGGATCTACATAAGAAGATGATTACTCAGTTTCAGAGATATCACCAGCCTCACACCCTGTCCTCAGATCAGGAGGACTGCATGTATTGGTACAACTTTCTGGCCTATCACATGGCCAGTGCTAACATGCACAAAGTAAGTTGGCACGTTTAAAATATCCTTTTATCCTTAGGTTTTCCATATATGTTGCAGTTCATTTATCTACTAAATTTTTTTGCTACTGATGCATTGAAGGTGTAGCTTTTTTTTTTTTTTTTTGGTACTGGGGATTGAACTTGGGACCTTGTGCTTGCAAGGCAAGCGGCAGAACCACTGAGCTAAATCCCTGGCCTGAACATGTAGCTTTTATGTAGTTATATTGTACACTTTTTTTGTATTTTGCTTTGGTGTCACGTTGATAAACATGTTTTGTTCTATGATTAGATACTTCTTTTATTAGTAAAAATAGTTATAGCTTATATTTTTTCAATCTGTAGTGATTTAAAAGATCTCTTAGTAATTGTTATAACTGAACCATGTAAAAATCGATTTCCTTTTTATCAGTAGCTTTCCTTTATGAGGACTATGGATTTGTTTTTAAGCTTTAAAAGGAATCAGGGTGGGAACATATTCATTGAATTTTTACTGAGTGGTTGTTACTGACTGGCATTGTTCTTCATTATTAGACATTATGAGTGCATAGGCACTAAGTCTGCTCTCATTAAGCTTATATTCTTGGTGAAGACAGATAATAAATTTATGGTATGTCAAAGCATGGAAGAAAAAGAAAAAGTGATAATATGGGGTAAAATCACAAGTTCCTGATAGATTTGATATGTGTTATGATGGGGAAGAATCAAAGTTGACTCAGAGCTTGTGGGGTGGAAAGAATGAAGTTGCTATGAAATAAAATGGGAGAGTCTGGGAGAACAAGTCCCCTCTCCCCACCTTGATGGAAAAGGGAAGGTTAGGAACTCACCTTGAGTATATTAAGTCTGATATACTTATTAAGACATCTGATTGGAAATACTGAATTTATGTAAATGTGTAATTCACATTGATGGAGAAAAGGTAATTACTAACTACTCAAAATGTTAACATTCTGGAAAAACCCTACATATTTTCAATAATTTTTCTACACTTAAAAATATTGTATCTTGGTTAGAAAACTGATGTGTTACTGTAGCCTGTGTTTTTTTTCCACCTAGCAAAATGTATTGATATTTAATAACCTGCTTCCAAGTGATAGCATTTTAGTAAATGTCTGTGACTGAAACTCTCATTATTGACCATTTAGGTTTTGAGTTTTGGGTCATTATGACATTATAATGAGCATTCTTGTTCATCTCTATACCTGTATTGTTTCCTTGGAAGATTCTTAGAAGTGGAATCACTTGCAGCGTGGAATCACAAGGCAAATTTTTGAAGCTTTTGCTCTAGTGTAGCAGGATTCAGTTTCTTCTTAGAACTTTTTCTAATTTTAAAGATAATGACTATAATTGAAAAAATGTAGACAAACATCTACAAAGAAGAAAATGAATATTACAACCACTGCTAATGATTTTATTTATAGTTTTCTATATTATTTTGCTACTTAAACTTGTTGTATATATATTTTATGAATGTAAATAGTTTTGTTTAGAAACAGGTACCTGTTTTTATTATAGTGTATAAGACTTGGCTTACAGTCTATAAAAAATGATCAATATCTAAATTCAGGAGTTAGCACTCCGAAAACACACTATGGGTGTGCAGCTGTAGTTTACCCACCTCAGGCTTAAACCAAAAACAACTAAATGGGATCATTGTAGAAATAGCATCTTACTTAAAAGATTTTTTTTTTTCTTTTGGTACCAGTGATCAAACTCAGGTCCTTTACTTGCGAGGCAGTTGCCAGAACCACTGAGCTAAATCCCTGGCCCAAAAAATTTTTTAATAGTACATATTTGCCATGCATAATGATCATATTCACCGAAGGGAATTTGTACTTGTGCATGACATATCTTAACTCTTTTTTTTTCTATTCCTTTTCCCTCCCTTCACCCCTTCATCCCCTCCTCATTTACAAAAGCTTTGTTTCCATTTTTTTCCTTTGATTCTCTTTTAATCCCCTTTCTTTTCCTTTCCCTGTTCCCCTTCCCACTTGAACATGTTCTTCCTACTACTTCCCAATATCTGTCCTCCATTTTTCTCCTATTTACCCTTTGGGTTTTTCATACAAAAGAAACAATGCAATGTTTAAATGTGTCTGATTTATTTCACATAAAATTATGGCCTCAAAGTGCATCTAACAAATAGCATCTTATGTATTGCCTGCCTGCCTGCCTGCTTTCTCTCTCTCTTCCTTGCCACCTCTCTCCTTCCTCTTTCCTTCCTCCCCCTGTTCTTCCTTTCCTCCTTCCCCTCTTCCCTCCTCTTCCTCTCTCCTGCCCCCTCACCCCAGTACTGAGGATTGAACCCAGGGCCTTTGCACTGAGCTACATCTTCAGCCCTTTTTGATTTTTTTGTTTTGAAATGAGGTCTTGCTATATCATGGTTGCCCAGGCTGGGCTCCAATCTTCTTGCCTCATCTTCCCAGAGTGCTGGGATAACAGGTGTGTACCACCACACAGGCTGATTTTTACCATTTGTCATTTTTTCATGTTGTTTTAAAGAGTGAGATGATTTTTTTTTTTTTTTTTTGGTACTGGGGATCAAATTTGGGCCCTTGAACTTGCGAGGCAGGTGGTGGAACCACTGAGCTAAATCCCCGGCCGGAGTGAGATAATTTTTAAAGCCTCATGCTATTTCATTGTATAACTGTAGTACAGTTGGCCAGTTGGTTGATAGATTGTTTAATTATACTCATTTGGTTCCTTTTCATAGAGAGAGAGAGAATGTGTGTGTGTATTTTTTTTGAGATAGGGTCTCACTGTGTAGTTGAGACTGACCTGGAACTCACTAGGTAGCCCAGGCTGGTCTTGAACTCACAGTGATCCTCCTGTTTCAGCCTCCCCAGTGTTGGGATTACAGGCTTGCGCCACTATGTCTGGCCCATAGAGTATATTTTTATAAGTGGAATTTTTGGGTCAAATGGTTTTACAGTTTCAATCTGAATCCCGATTGCCCCCTACCTTTCAGAAAGGTGCTCTCATGTGTGTGTCTGTGTGTCTGTGTCTGTGTCTGGGTTTTTGTGTAAATTGGCTTTCATCCTTTGCCTTGACCTCTTTTCTTCTGTTGAGATACTTATTTATTTTCTTTTTATTGTTTTACTACAGTTTTCTATAAAGAATAATATTAAGTCCTATTTATTATTTATGATGTAAGTAATTTTTTTCCTGATTTATTTTTGGTCTTAAATTTGTGTTTCTTTCTACTATATTGAAAATTTGAATTTTTATGTAATTAAATATACCTTTTAACTTTTTGGATATTTTGCTTGGCATCTTGATTATGAAGATTTCCTTCACCTCAGGGAAATAAAAGTGATTTAGCCATATCTCTTAGTATGTTTTAGAGTTTTGTATTTTATTTTAAAATCTTTAATGTGGCCATAATTTATTTTGAGTTGAAGGATGATATATTCTTTTTCACTAGTATCCTTGTCATCCTAATTCTAGAGATTTGCTGAGTTTCTCTTAGTCATGGGTTATGATAATGGTGTTATACTTAAATTCTTTAGTCTTTTGGTTGTACTTTGTTGCCCTACCCTCCACCCCATACTGGGGATCGAACTCAGGACCTTGTACTTGCAAGGCAGGCATGGTGCCACTGAGCTAAATCCCCGGCCCTCTTTGGTCTTTTAATAGTGTTGCTGATTTTGCTTTTTTTTTTTTTTCTTAAAGGAACTTTGCGCTTTAATGTTTTCCCTGGATTGGATTAAAGCAAAAACAGAACTTGTAGGCCCTGCTCATCTGATTCATGAATTTGTGGAATACAGGCATATACTGGATGAAAAGGTATAAATTAGTATGAAAAGTAATGCTTAAAAGATGCCTAATTTTGACCTCTAATTATAGTTTAATGGTGAGCATGAACAGAATAGAAGGGTCGAGTAGAAATAATTTCCTTGCTTTTACTTTGATTATTTTAATTAATTTGCTTCCTATCCAACTGGGAATGTAGGTATGATTGAAATTTGAAAGTTGGGAAGGTAAGGTTTTTGGTGGTTTAAAAAAAAGCATTAAGAAATGTGTTTGATAATAAGATTTTTACCCTGTGTTTAAAAGTCAGAAAAAGATCACTATATATTTGTTATCTTACGGTTGGCTGTTAAATTTTAGTTCATATAGAGAATGTCTCATTTAAGTTTTTAAAGTTGCAAGATCACAGAAACAGAAAAATGTCAGATCATGGCTCTGGTTATATTTCTAAGAGTTTTCAGTTTATTCATAGGATTGCGCAGTCTGTGAGAATTTTCAGGAGTTTTTATCTTTAAATGGACACCTTCTTGGACGACAGCCATTTCCTAATATTGTACAACTGGGGCTCTGTGAACCGGAAACTTCAGAAGTTTATCAGCAAGCAAAACTGCAGGCCAAGCAGGAGGTCGATAACGGGATGCTTTACCTGGAGTGGATGTAAGTAGGTTTGGAGAGAAACCAAAGGGAGTGGAGCGCTAACTATGTCATTATTTTTCAAGTAGTGAATAAGTTCACTCCAGGAAGATTTAACTGCTTTGGAAAGGGCTGGAACTTTTAATAAATCTTCTTAATGAAAAGTTCCAGAGAAGTAAGCATAGGAAAAAAATGATTATATCTTCCAAGTCCATAGGCACCTTATTAGAAGGCACTTTGACAAGTCCTCCTAAGTATTCATACCAAATGCTTGACTTCCTGCAACCTAGTACTGCATAGTGATGAAGGGCGTGGGCTTTGGAGCCACTGACCTGGATGTGAGTCTGTGCTAGAACCTAGTAGCTTCATGGGTTTTTTTTTTTTTTTTTGGTTTTGTTTGTTGGGGACAGGGTCTTGCTGTGTATTCCAGGCTGACCTGGGACTGAATGATGTAGCTATTTAAGCAAATGATTATAATGTAATGTGATAAGTGGAACAAAAGCATGTATAGAATAGAGATAGAACTGGTAAGTACTGAATTTAGATAAGTGAGGAATTTAGGGCGGTCTCATGAAGAAGGTGATATCCGAAAAGGTTTTAACAGTTTGTTTAGCTCCAGTGTAATTTTAATTTTTGTTGATTTTATTTTTATTTTACACATTTTCTGATTTAAAAAATTAGATACAAAATGAAGTCAGAGACTTCCTCTTTCCCCCACCTCTCTATTTCTAAGAGTTCACCACTCTTTAATATTTTCTTTGAAGGTGGAGGTTTCCCTTCCACTAAGCGAAAGCCAAGGTTTTACTGTTGCTAAGTGAAGCAGTTCTCCTAACCTGCTGAAACTAGGTTATATATGCTGGTATTCTAGAGCAGGTACTCCTTGTTTATTTCATATCACTTGTCACCTTTATTGTGGTTATCTACTTGTTTTTTCTCCTGTAATCATCATGTTCTTTGGTAGAGAACAGTCTAGGTTAAAATAAGACTGGCTCTAAATTTCCTGGGATTGAATTCCAGCTCTGCCCATGCTTAGCTGTGTATCTTTAGGGGACAGTAGTTCAGCTTCTCTCGCCAGGTGCCCTGTTCCACAGCACTGCTGTGAGGATTAAAAGGCTTGGTGTGTGTACAGAGACATGCACATGGCGCTGAGGACAGTAGCCAGTCCATAGGAAGTGCTTAATAAATATCACCGTTACTAAAAATAGCACTACGCATTTGGCCTGGCCCTTGTGCTTGCTTTCAGTAGAAATTTCTGGGAGATAGATCACCTGTTTTAGTTAGGGGCTAAAATGGAATCTGAGTATTGGTTTGCTCAGCGGAACATAGTCTGGTTTTTGTTCCTTTATGAATTACTGAGTTTGTTATTTTTACTCTTTCTTGCTCTTCATTTTCTGTCATTGCATCAGTCGCATTTCAGCCTGTGACATTCTTTCATAGCCATTCATGACTGTATTTTTCACCGTGGATAGTAATTAAAAAATTTTGTATTTTGGATAGTAATTAAAAAATTTTGTATTTGGGGGAATATAACCATGTTAAAAGATAGTTTGTTACTGAAAGAAAGTAGTTACTTTTATTCTAACCTACTGGATTTTTTGTTTATTTTTTCCTTGTATTTAGAAATAAAAAAACCATCAAGAACCTCTCTCGCTTAGTTGTCCGCCCCCATACAGATGCTGTTTACCATGCGTGCTTTTCTGAGGATGGCCAAAGAATAGCTTCTTGTGGAGCTGATAAAACCTTACAGGTAAAACAATTTTATTGAGGAAAAATTCAGAGATTTTTACCCAGTCCTGTATAGATTAGAATATGTTTAAACCCCAAGATGGAAGAAAATTGCATGTTAGTAGAGAAATCTGAATCTTTTGAACATTTTATGACAGCTTTCTCTAGAGATTTTAAAGATATATGTTTCATATTCTGAACTCTGAGTGACAAAGAGCCTTTCTCCCTCCAGTCAGTTACCTGCTATTCATTTGCCAGTGAAGGGTAATGAGGAGATAATTGTTAAGAGAATTACTTTGTAGCACAGTAGATAGGCCTGTCATGGAAAGGTTGGGGTTAAATAAAATACTTTATCGAAGGCTTAGACATATATATTGAACTGTAAATAAGAATTGGATGAGATTATTTCCAAAAATGCTTTAAATATTTTCTTCTAACTTTTCCTTTGTTTTCAGAAAATGAGTGAGTGCTCTTTTTATTTTTCAGTCGTTTCTTTTTTTTTTTTCTTCTTCTTTGCAATATTGAAGATTGAACCCAGGCCTCGTGTACACAAGGCCAGCACTCTACCACATTCCTAGTTCTTTTATTTCTTTTTAATTTTGAGACATTGTTTTTTAAATCGCCAAGTTGCCTAGACTGAGCTTGAACTTGGGATCATTCTGCCTCAACCTCCAATCTTTGCCTTTTAAAAAAATTTGTATTTTGAGACAAGCTCTTTACTTGCCAAGTTTGCCCTGAAACTTCTGATCCTCCTGCCTTGGCCTCTCAAATAGCTGGAATTACAAGCATGTACCACCATACCTGGTTTCCTGTTGATTTTGAAGGAAAGAGGATCAAATTAGTTAAAATCTTATATTTAGAATAATTTTAGTCTTTCCAAGATTATAACTTCATACCCTACTTCTATGGTACCTGATTACAAATTTTAGTAATTTCAGCTTTTGAAAAAAGTCCCAGAAAGAAAGCACTTTGAATTAAGTGGTTTTTAGTTGATTATTGAGAATTTTCCAAGATAGTCTCGATAAGCTGAAGTTATATTCTGCCACTGTTATGTGCTGCTGCTCACTCATTTAACAATTGATAGCTCTCTATGCTATGACTTATAAATTATGGTAGAATTTCTAATTTCTTTTTTTTGGTACCAGAGATTGAATTCAGGACCTTGTGCTTGGCAGGCAGGCACAGCACCACTGAGCTACATTCCCGGCCCTAAATTTCTAATTTTTGAATGATTTTTGCTAAGGTGCATTTCTGTTTTACAAAATAAAAATGATTAAGATGTTTTTTTAAATATACTTTTGGATAAGTTCCTTTAAAGACTTTTATTTAGTGATAACCCTCAGTTAAGTGGTTTATAGCAAAAGGATTTTATTGTTGTCTATGCAGGTGTTCAAAGCTGAGACAGGAGAGAAGCTTCTGGAAATCAAGGCTCATGAGGATGAAGTGCTTTGTTGTGCATTCTCCACAGATGACAGATTTATAGCAACTTGCTCAGTGGATAAAAAAGTGAAGGTAGGAAAGTATTTTCCTCTTGAGTTGTAATCACTACAGAATTCACTTTTTCCCTGTCAGAGAGATTAGAGTAATTAGGGTTAAAGGATCCTTGCTTGTGGGTTTACTATCTGGATGCATTGTAAATTGACACTGTCTAAAAATTCTTTATTTTTAAGCACCAGCAGAAATTATTAGGTTGATCAGCTTGAGTTATTTACCAGGCAGTAGGGAAAAGTAATTACAGTTAATGGATTTGCCTGCCATTAGTAGATAGGTCTGTGGGCTAAATATCAGTTGAAATCTTTGAGTGCATTGTGATTAGAAGCAAGGCTGCACAGAATTATTGTCTGAAAGCCAATGCTTGTTGGAAAATATGTAGTTTGTGAAATGCAACCTAACTCTTTTAACCTTTATGAACTGGTTCATGTATTCAGTACAAAACCAGATGGATGTACAAGACTAATAGGTTACTGGTCTAAAAAGTAAACAACAAATAAAGAGGGTAATTTTTATCTTTGTTAATTATCCTCTTCTGAGCCTAAATTTAGCTTTTATGGAACAAAAGAAAAACTAATGTGGAATTTAAGAAAAACTGAGGACCTCGGGGGTTCTTTGTCACTGATAATGGAGGCAAGGCCTCGCTTCGGGCTTTTTTCAGGGGAGTTGTGGAATACTGAATCTGGCTAAGTGGTATGGGCAAAAGTTGGCTTAGGAGATTTTTTGGTATTGCCACTAATTGAAGAGGAAGAGGGAATGTCCACACTAAAACTGAGACTGTGGCAAAAACTTACTTTTTGAGAGAGCCTTGGTGGCTTTCTAGCCAAGCAATAACTTCCTCTAGACTCTTCTGAGTTGGACTTGGATCCAGTTGGTGGTGTGGGGCAGTTCCAAAGTCAAGAGTTTATGGCAAAAAGGAAATAATGCTGAGCACCTATTTTGTTAGAATTCAAAATATAAAATGAGACAGAAATATTCATTAAAGATCTTCAAAATGAGATAAACTCTTTGGATCTGCAAGGATTCTAATAAGAGCTGGGGGAAGATACATGGGGTTACCAAAGCAGGGAGTTTGAGCCCCTCTGAAGAGTGAGTCCTGCGGAAGATTCATTAGGTAATTTATTTCTTTTGTTTGTTGTTTTATGGAACAGACAACTTAGTTGTCCCACAAGGTAACTAGAATGGTGGTTAACTGTGAGAGGATTTATACTACACACTTACTTATATTGTTTATTCTCTTTTTGTGGTACCAGGGTTTAAACTCAGGACCTTGTGCTTGTGAGGCAGGTGGTGGCATATATTGTTTATTTTCACTAAGCAATCTGTCTTTATTTTTATTACCATTACTACTTGTTGTTGTTATTAGTGGTCCTGTGGATTGAGCCCTGGGCCTCCTGCATGCCAGACAAGTGCTGCTACTTGATGTGTTGAGTTGGTCAGGACGAGTATAAGAGGAGGAGCCTGGAATGCATTATGGCAGATGCACAAATCATAAATGGCAGAGCCAGGTCCTGGACTCAGTCCATCATGCTGTCTCCTTCTTATCTCTTTGCTGCTGTCATCCTGATGACCATGGGGAAGCCTCACAGGTTCCTTTCACACTGTGGGTACACACATATAGGCTTACAAGTTGATTTTTGAAAAACACTGAGGCAAAATATTACTGTGTCTTAGAGAAGGAGGGATGTTCATTAGCATCATGTCTGCAATGGATATTTGTGATTTTGTCTTCTTTACTCTTTTCAGATTTGGAATTCTGTGACTGGGGAACTTGTCCATGCCTATGATGAGCACTCAGAGCAGATCAATTGCTGCTGTTTCACCAACAACAGTCAAAACCTTCTCTTAGCCACTGCGTCAAATGACTTTTTCCTCAAAGTAAGTGTGGATATTGAGGACTATGTGGATTCAAAGGGACATCAGAAAATCTCCCTTCATTTTCTCATGTATTATTAGGGCTTTTATTTTTTTTGCTGCAGTGTTAGAATCTTCCATACTAACTTAAGTTCTCCTTCCCATGAAGAAAAGAGTAGTAGCTCACATAACTGAAGAGTCTAGAAGGGACGTGAATTTGAATTCAAGCATCGTTGATTTCAGATGCTTGACCTTTGTTCTAGGGTTCCACCTCCCTCCCTGTCCCAGATCCCATACACCTGATTTTATTTTCTTTTTTATGGTTTTTAAAATTTTGGGTGGAAGCATCGTGCACTATGACTGAGCAGAATCACAACCCCATCCACACATCTGTTTTGGACAGGAGTCCTGTTCTCTCATGGCTTCATGCTCATTTCTGTGTAACCCCAGTGACCAGTAGGATGGATCCTTGAATTGTCAAAGGCTCACACGTTTAGCCATATAAAGGTGGGACAAATGGGTTGGGGTCAGTGTATTTGAATCATAACCAGACACTAATTCAAAAGGAAGTTTGTGTTACTAGAAAGGGAAGGGAGGGAAGTACTGTTAGAAAAAAAAAAAAGAAAAGAAAAGAAAACTTTTCATCCTACAAATATTTGCTGATGATTGTAATCATGGATTATAAAAAAATTGTATCTTTTTTTTTCCTTTAAGACGAAGGTAGCTAGATTAAATCTTAGAAAGATTTGCTAATTTCTTTTGAAAAATTTTTTTGTCTTGATTTTTAAATTTTTATTTTATTTTTGGTATTGGGGATGAACTTGGGACTTTGCGCCTGTCATACCATCTTTGCAATGGAAAATCATATTCTTAGGAGGGATAGGTAAATAAATAATTTCAGATTGTAAAGCCTCATAGACTCTGTATTTTGACAATTAAATAAACTATTTCAAAATTTGAAGAAAATATTGAGGCATTTACTGAAAATTGCCTTCCCTCTTTTGTTTGTTTGTTTGTTTTTTTTTGGTACCGAGGATTGAACTCAGGTCCTTGTGCTTGCAAGGCAGGCCACCAAACCGCTGAGCTTAATCCCCGGCCCTGCCTTCCCTCTTTTAAGAAGCCAAACTCTTATTTTTCTCTGAAAGAAAAAATCGCATGGTATCTCAGTGTCTAAACTGTAGGAAGCCTGTTGTTCTGGTTCAAGTAGCAGCACAGGCCTACGTTCTCTACTCTACCCCCACCCCCTGTCCACCAAAAGACCTTGCAGGCCTAGTGTAGACTCCCCAGGGCCCTACAATATGGAATTTACAAACACTATTGCACCAAGATTGCAGATTAATTGTACTAACATAAAATTATTTCACAGCTATAGCTCACTTTTACTTAGAAATCTTTGCCCTATTTGAATAAATCTAACTCTAAAAAGAAGTCTATTGTACCTTATGACTGTGTGTGTATGTGTCTGTGTGTCTGTCTCTCTGTCTCTGTCTCTCTCTCTCTCTCTCTCTCTCTCTGTCTCTCTGTGTGTGTGTGTGTGTGTGTGTGTGTGTGTGTGTGTGGTATTGTTAACTGAACCTAGGTCCTTCTACCCCCTGAGCTCCTTTTTTATTTTGAGACATGGTCTTGCTAAATTGCCTTTGGCTAGCCTCAAACCCATAATCCTCCTGCCTCAGCCTCATGAGTGCTGGGATTACAGGTGTGCTCCACTATACCCAGTCCATGTCTACTTTTTGATGTTACTTTTTTAAAGGAAGTTTTGGTTACCCCTTCTTAAATATGGATAAAAACCTCCACCATGTGGGAGGGGGTTTTGGTTAGTAAACAGTTTTAATTAAGGGCAAGTTTTATTTTAAGTTCTATTATACCACACCTGCATCACCATAAGGACTATTAAAATGCTCTACTTATGATTTCTTGAGCTGAGAATCCAGTGAAAAATATGTAAATCTGAAGCTATCTCTTAGCTTGCCTTATCTGAAGAATTGCTTTTATTTTATTTTTGGGGACAGTGTCTTGCTGTTTAGTTCAGGCTGGCCTTAAAGTCACTGTGTAGCCAATGTTGTGATCCCCTTGGCTCAACCTCCCTAATGCTGGGATTACAGGCGTGAGCCACCGGACTGGCTTTGAAGAATTGCATTTACTGGGGCTAGGATCAAGGAACCAAGGATGGAGATAGATTTGAGTAGGAGTTATCTCATTTACTGATCATTTCAAAAGAATTTCTACTTTTGGTGATAAATGACTTCTTTTCCTGGGCTTATGTAATTAGTATAAATCGCCAGAGATGACTATAACTCTTTTTGAATACATTTTTTATATTTGCAAATATCTTCAAAAGGAGAGAATACAATAACCCCTATGGTAGCTCTAGCTCCAACAGATTATATATAAAGCCGGATATTTCCAGTCCTGTTTTATCATTCCTTTCCCCCATTTTGGGCTGGAGCATTTTACAGCAACCATTTCATGCAAACTCCATCTGAGTACATCTTAAAGCTCCTAAATGTGTCATGCTATCATCTAACAATAAACTGTAGTTTGTTGTATGCCTGGTCTGTGTTTACTTTTCCCTGTAGCCTCAAAACATGTCTTTCTAACAGATTTATTGGAATCAGAATCCCAACAAACTTGACACTTGGCACTTGTTCATTTTGTCTCTTAAGTCTCTTTTAGTCTATAAAAGTTCCCATTTCTTTTTCTTCTGATTATTTTTTAATTTTTTTATTATTATTATTATTATTATTATTTATTTATTTTGTGTGTGTGTGTGTGTGTGTGTGTGTGTGTTTTACTGGAGATTGAACCCAAGGCCTTTGCCCTGAGCCTCCCCATTTTTTGAGACAAGTTATCACTAAATCGCTAATTGCTAAATTGCCTAGGCTGGTCTCCAACTTGTGATACTTCTGTCTCAGCCTCCTAGAGTGCTGGGATTCCAGGCCTGTGCCACCACACCTGGATTTTCTTCCCTCTCTTACCCCATTGGTTTCAGTTACCTGTTTTTGGAATAATCACATTCTGGATTTGATTGTTTCCTGGAAGTGTTGTTTGAGTTGCTTATTATAGTTCCTATATTATACTTCGAATTTGGTGAATCATCTTTTAGAGCATTAATAGCTTTTGCCTACTTTGTAGTCTCAAGGTTTGCAGAATCTTAGAAAAGACCATATTTACAACCTAGCATTTAAAAAAAAGAGGGCAATTTATATCACATATTACTTATTGTAGCTTTTTGTAGTTGAGTAAAATCTTAATGTTCTAAACTACAAGTAGTAATTGTGTAGTTATTTAGAAATTAGAGTAAAAAGCCTATGTGAACCTTCAATTCTCTGTAGATTTAGATGTTGATCTAAAGGCAGCCTGGTTAATCACAAATTTATCTTTGTATTTGACACCTTTGTGTTACTGTGAATTGAAGATAGTTCTTCAACCAAAAGATATTAATTGAAAGGGGAGGAAGAGATTGCTATGATTTCTGACTTTTCCTTATTTAGTATCAGTTTTTTTAATGTATCTTTTTATCTTTTTCAAATAGCTATGGGACTTGAATCAAAAAGAATGTCGAAATACTATGTTTGGCCACACGAATTCAGTTAATCACTGCAGGTTTTCCCCAGATGATGAGGTTTTGGCTAGTTGTTCAGCTGATGGAACATTAAAGGTAAGCATTTGTACATTATTAAAATGGGATATAATTTTATGGGAAGTTTTAGGATTTGGTTATCGAAGTAGGTTTCTGTTTGTGTCCGTTGTTTTTGTCACTGAAAAAGTACTTGAGATGAGCATCTTGTAAGGATGAAAGGTTTATCTTGGCTCACAGTTTCAGCGGTTTCTGTTTATGGTTGCTCAGCCCTGTCACCTGTGTGCCTGTGGTGAGACTGGGATGTGTAGTAGAGCAAATCTGCTCACCTCATGGTGTGGTGGGGAAGCAGCAAGGGACTGGAAGGGGCCAGCATCCCAGTAACCCCCGAGGGCACATGCCCAGTAACCTCACTTCCTTCCTCTAGGTCTTGCCTCAGGAATCTTCACCCATCTCCTAATGGTGCCACAGGCAGGGAACCAGGCGTCAACACATGGCCTTTGGGGATAGTCAGGATCCAAACTACAATAGTGTTTTCACTTTTCCATAGAAAGTGCTGCTGCTTCAATTTCCAGTAGGGTATTCAATGTACCCATAATTGCTCATCCTAGTAATTGTGAATGATTTACAATCTAATGTTTAAAATTCATGTAATTTTAATTCTTCAGTTTTAAACATGTATTCTTCGAGTATTTTGAGATATGTGGATAAGTTTGTAAAGGACTGCTTTTACTTATCATTTATTAGCCTTTCATTTGACTTTTTCTGTTTTGGGAAGCCACATAGAGGAGTAACTCAAGACTTAAGGAACAAAGCTTATGTGGCCTAAAATTTATGTTCCTAAGAAAGCCTACATCCTTCATCTTTAAATCCCTACTTCACTTCTGAAATAAAATCCAAATTTCACTTTCTCATTCGTGCATCTGCTGCCCCTCTTGTGTCCTGTTTTTCTTTTTTTCTTTGGTCATAAATACAAAGTATCTTTGACCTTCTTGTCTTTTGGTCTGTCTCTTCTGTTCTTTGCTATTGGAACTAGTTCAGGCCGTTGTCCCCTGGTAGCAGTCTTCTAAGATGCATTGACTATCTCTACTGATCCAAGTACATAGGTAGAATAACCCTCTTCTGCTGTTTTCCTCCTGCCACTTTCAGCTGGAACACAGCTAGGATCATAAATTGTAGGAAGCCCAGGCTCATCAGGCTAAGGTTCTTCACCTTCCATCATTCTGCCATCTCCTGATTTCTTTTATGCATTTGTTGTTTCTTCTGGGCAAGATAACTTTTGGTGCTTACTTTAATTACTGTCCCTTATATGTTTCATAGTCTTAATATATGTCCCTGTAGCTTTTGGTGGGATTATTTTTGGCTACAATTAACTTGCCATATTTTATTTGTTTGTTTTTGTTTTTTGCTTTTTTGGTAACCAGGGATTGAACTTGGGTCCCTGTGCTTGCAAAGCACGTGCTGGAACCACTGAGCTAGATCCCGGACCCTAAATTGCCATATTTTAAAAATGATCCTGAGAACTTTATGCAAGCATTTTTCAAGAAATATTCTCTTATAATACCTATTTATGTGGTTCTCAATGCGTAGCTTTATCTATGTCAGTCTGTTAATCTATATCTGTAGATACAAACTGGTTTGTCTTTATTTTCCATGTATAAATATGTGTGCTGTATAATTCAGTCACTTTTATGTGTTCTTTGCTAAAATTGACTATAGGTTAATGATCTTCAAAAACCATGTCACCTTTCTGTTGAGTGTTTGCTGAGGTTCCCAGTAAAGAAATGTACACAAAACAGAAACTCAGTAGCCTTAACATATACAGTGCTTCTTCTAGAGAAAGACTTGAACCCTCCTGGATACTATCTTGTTTGTTAGAATTTCTATTCATGGAGATTTGTTAATTTTTCTAGGTGACTTCTGAGCAAGATAAACTCCCTTGATGCTACTCTGTGGTTGAGTCTTTGATCTTTCTTTGCTGACTGAGCATAATTTATTTTTTTTGTACAAATTATTTCAGGGCACCTAGAAACCCTAGGGTAGAATTCTACTTTGTAGACTTAAGCTAGCTTTCACATTGTTAAACCTTGCATTTGCTGTCAAGTGTTACTTTTTCTTATATTTATACAGATTCAGCCTTTCTTTTTTTGAGACAGGGTCTCACTATGTAGTTGAGACTGACCTGGAACTCACTATGTAGCTCAAGCTGGTCTTGAACTCACGGTGATCCTCCTGCCTCAGCCTCCCGAGTGCTGGGATTACAGGTGTGCCCCACCATGCCCAGCTCTGGGGAGCATTTTTTTTTCTTTTCTTTTTATTGAGTTTATTGGTACAAAAACAGTACAGTTACATTCATCATTGGGGTTCTGTACCTTTACATAATAGGTCTTGATTCTCATTTTTTTTCCCCTTGTCCCTGCCCTCCCTTCACCCCCTCCTCACCTCCCCATTT